TGAAATATGATAAACTTATTGTGGGTCAAGAGGTATTCACGTTTAATCTCGAAACAAATGAGATAATATGTTTGAAAAGTTCTCATCAATAGCAAGCAAACAGTAACCTCATCAAACCTGAACAAAATCATGATAACCTATCAGTAGTGTTTTGGAACATTGAAGGACTCCAGTCAAAACTTAATGAACATTATTATGACATCACAGATGTGATTAATGGATACGATATCATTGGATTTACCGAGACCTTTCAAAAAGCTGGAGAAAGTTTTAAAGATCTGTTTCCAAACTTTATACAATATGAGTGCGCAAGAATATGTGAAACGGATAAAGCATTCGGTGGTGTGGCTTTATTCCTTAAGAAATGGTTGGTGGATATTACGGAAAAAGTGGATACATGTATTGAATGTGAAGAGACTATTTGGCTTAAACTATCACTAAAAAAGCTAGGAAGAAAACACAATCTATTTGTTGGTCTTGTGTATGTCCCACCAGAGGGGTCGATATTCTACTCAAATAAACCTGCAAACTGCAATATACAGCATATCGAAGTAGTCATCAGAGATATTAGACTGAAATTTCCATCTGACGAAATGTTACTTATTGGTGATTTTAATGCCCGGACGGGCATCGAAAAAGACTTTATCCACGACCAGTCTATCTACAATCCGTACATGTATACTTTCCAAGAACAATACGGGAATGAATCCAGCAAATATCAACAACTACGTGAGAACAAGGATAAATTTGTTAACACATTTGGTAATCGGCTTCTGAAATTTTGTTGTGAGTATGATTTTGCTATCATCAAAGGCCGTGTCCCCCCGTTTGAACAGGGCAATAACAAAACTCAATAACCTGTTTTACGAAGTAGGCGACGCTGTTGGACTGAGAAAAAGACAGAATTATAAGCCATTACACAAAAAACAACCATGGTTTGACAGAGAATTAGAAAATCAACAGCGTCGGAAAGAGAAACTGCTTAAATCGTTTCGCATTAACAACTCTGCTACTACATTAAGTGAATATTGTGAAAGTAAAATTGAGTATAAAAATATGTGCCATAGTAAAAAAACTGCTTCACAATGGAAGAATCAAAGACGAACTTCTAAATCTCTCAACCGAGAAGAATCCTACTATTTTTTGGAAGAAAATTAAAAGTTTCATTCAAACGAAGAGTGTTCAAACACCTGAAATTAACAGTTCAGAATTTTATACCTATTTCAATGAACTTCTAAACCCTATAAGTGAGGAAACTGACCCTGAATTCAGTGAACTCGTGACGAGGACAATAAATAATACAGATACCTGTACCGATTTAGATATTTCTGGCATATGCAAGCTAAATAACATTATTTCAGACGAGGAAATAGTTTGTGCTATAAACAATATGAAAAATGGAAAAAGTAGTGGTGAGGACTCAATCCCTATTGAATTTTATAAATGTTGTCTCAATGAGTTACTTCCCCTTATTAATAAGCTGTTTAACAAAATATTTGTTAGTGGTAACTTCCCTGACGGCTGGTCTTCCTCGATCATTGTACCCCTTTATAAAAAAGGAGATTGTACATTTCCCAGTAATTATAGAGGCATTTCGCTTTCAGATGCAATAAGTAAGTGGTTTACATCTATTCTTAACAGCCGTCTTACAAAATGGTCTGAGGAAAACCAGTTGCTAGTGGAAGAGCAAGCTGGGTTCAGAAATGGTTACTCAACCATTGATAATGCATTTATTCTTAATTCTCTTATACAAAAATATCTAAATAAGGGTAAAGGTGGTGTATTTTATTGCGCATTCGTTGATTTTAGACGCGCATTTGATGGTTTAAATAGATTGAAATTAATGTATGTTCTGATAAGAAATAATGTAAACGGCGCAATGCTACAAATGTTAAAAGGTATTTATAAGAAAGTACACTGCAAAGTTCGTTGGAATAGTTGCCTCTCAGAATCATTTACCTGTAGCTCTGGTGTGAAGCAGGGGTGTATATTAAGTCCCTGGTTATTTGGCCTCTTCATTAATGAACTGGCTACTTCCCATAAGTCTGATTGTGTCTCTGGCATTTTTGTTGATAATACGATAGAAGATATCTTTTCGCTTCTATTTGCTGACGATTTAGCCCTAGTTGCAGACAGCATTGGGGGTTTACAAAATCGGTTAAATGTACTGGAACAATATTGTAAACAGTGGAATATGGATGTTAACCTTGACAAATCTAAAGTCGTAGTATTTAAGAATGGCGGTTCTCTCTCTCGGAGGGAAAGATGGTATTACATGGGTTCAAAGTTAGAGACCGTGTCACATTATAGGTATTTAGGTATTGAATTTTCATGTCATTTAAAGTGGAATTTTAATTGTTCATATTTATCCCAACAGGCCACGAAAGCTTTAAATGTTATAAAGAAATGCTTATCTAATACAGGAACACGAAATATTAAAGTTGCATTCGACTCAATGGTAGGTCCCATATTATATTATGGTTCCGAGATTGAAAGTGTACAAACTAAATTTTGCAAATGGCTTCTATACACTGGACAAAAAACCACTAACAACATGATCAGAGGTGAATGTGGGAGGTATGAGCTTTATATTAACTATATTTGTAGACCTATTAAATATTTTTTGAAAACCCAGGAAATGGGAAATCACAGATTACCAAAACTATGTTATAATATGTTATATAACCAAAGTCAAATAGGTAGAAACAATTGGTGTACGTCTGTTAAAAATATACTATTAACGCATGGTTTTGGCGATGTATGGTTTTCACAAGGAGTGGGTAACATAAAACAATTCATTTGCATATTCAAACAACGACTTAAAGACAACAGTCTTCAATCTTGGCAATCAGATATTACTACTTCTACCATATGTCAGTTCTATTCCATTATAAAAAATGAATGTGAAAATTATTTAAACTCAAACTTATCTCAATCCTTAATTTTTCATCTAGCTAATTTTAGATGTTCAAAGCATAAGTTAAATGTAGAACTTGGAAGACATCATAACATTCCATTTCATGCTAGATTATGTAATATTTGTAATTATAAACAGGTAGAAACAGAATACCATTTCATACTTGTCTGTCCAGTGCTACAGGATCTCAGAGTTAACTTCCTGCCAAAATATTGTCACTCAAACCCAAACGATTTCAAACTTAAATCTCTATTTACAAGCAAATCTATAGATGTCCAAAAAAACTTAGCTTTGTACATAAAAAAAGGATTAGATATTAGACAAGAAATACTCTCATGAATTTTATCCAATCGACTTATTGTATATACCTGCCTTAATTAAAAGTTTGAACTATTATTTTGTATAATTAATTAATATGTGAAATCTAGATTATTATTTTGTATATAATATATGTGAAATTAAAATTATTATCTGTATTTGTTTAATATACTATATTTAATATTTAAATTATTTTTGTATATTCTATATTTGAAATTTATTTTATTATATGCATTTTCTTTATTAGAAAATTCAAATCTATTTTTGTTAACGTTTGTACCATGACGAAAGTCGTATAGTACTTGAATAAACTAGTAAAATAGACAAGCATTTACGCTTTAAATTTTTTAAATTTAAATGCAAATTTATGTTCAAAATATTATTGAATGTGTTTTATCAGAATGTAATACAATTTTTTTCAAACACAAACTACGTATATATTTCAAAAAAACCGACTTTTAAAAATGAATGAATTTCTCGATAAATATGGAACCGATACAACCACAAACTTTCAACTTATGAGATGGGCGAATGAGTTAAATATATCACCGTTTTATTATTGTATGAGAGATGAAATAAATGATCTCAAATATAAGAAAGGTAAATTTTACGCTATAGCAAATATACATACTTCCGATCAAAAAGGAGTTCATCATTCTGCTTTGTACAAAGACTCTGACTTTTATTTCTTCGATTCTTATGGATTAGAACCCACTGAAGAGATATTACAATTGACTAATAAACAAATCAAATGTTCAACATTTCAAATTCAATTACCGGGACAAAAGTTTTGTGGTCAGCTTTCACTTTGGGTTTTATATCAGTTGAGTTTAGGAAAACAATTCGAAGAAATTATAATAAATTTAACTTAATAAAAATGGCGAATAAGTTTGGATTAGGTTCTTTATCTTTAGAAACCAAAAAACCTAACACAACAGCGTGGATAAATAAAACCAAACCTTACTTCCTAGATCAAATCGGAGACACTCTTCAAGGTGATTTAGATATGAACAATTTTAGCATAACTAATTTAAAGCCTCCGGAAAACGATAATGATGCCATTCACAAGAAATATTTAATGGAACAATTAAATTTAATTGAAGTAAAGTAAATAAAAACCATTTAAACGAAAGAATAGGCGATGTGAAAAGATTCTTCAAACGTCAACTAAATAATTAAGATTTTATTGATGATACTAAATTACAACAAGAAGTAACAAGTTTAAAAAATTTTATTCAACAACAATTAGTCAATGTAGTAGATAAAACTCATTAGATGATAAGATTACAAAGCAAAAAATAGATCTTAAACAACTAATAGATCATATTAATCCAGGTATAAGTGAAGACAAATTAACCGCATTAGAAAGTAAACTTAGTGATGATAGTGAAATACAAAAACAAATAGTCGCTATTCAACAACAATTAATCAATGTAGTAGATAAAACTCAATTACAAAATTTAAGTTCATTAATATCTAATTTAGATGATAAGATTACAAAGCAAAAAATAGAACTAATAGATAATATTAATCCAGGTATAAGTGAAGACAAATTGCAACGGGAATTAACTAAATTTAAAACTGAATTACAAAAAGAACTAACAAATATTCAACAAAACATAGATGATAGTGTTATTCAACAACAGATAACCACTATTAATAACCTAGTTTTAAAACAGGATAAAAATATACTAGCATTAGAAAAAAAGTTTCTCAAGAAAGAATCATATTATTTCAATATTTGGGTTTTGATAGTGGTTCTATTACTGATAATATTGATAAATCAAAAGACTATGAATATAAAACATATGGATTTACAGCAAATATTAGACTATATTCTGCTCCAAATTATCCTATTCTTCCCAAAAAAATTTTTGATGTTAATTATCCATATATTTTTAAATTTCGAGGAAAACTTACAATTGAAATAACATTTCCTATACAGGTAAAAGTTGATTCATTATTCTTCAGACAAGATTCAATATCATCTAATAAATTTAACGCTCGCAAAGTTCTTCAGTTTATCAATGGTACAAAAAATGTAGAAACTAAAGAATTAGAAATTAACGACAAAAACAACAAGATTAGTCACTTACATGAAATTAAAACGAATGGACAATATATAGATAGGTTTAGAATGTTAATCATACCAGATAATGAAAAAGATGAATTTTTATTGAGTGATTTTGATATGTTATTGGAGACTGAAACTCCACCATCAATGAATATTATTAGAAATCCAGAACCAGAAAAAAAAGATGTAAGCGATTATGAGTTTTTACGAGCAACAGACTTTGAATACGTAAAACTATATTTTGTTGATAATGATATATTTACCTCAGTCGATATTCATAAAAGTCAACAAAATCAAAAATTTTTAATAAGAGATGGTGTATACGTTAATATATCAATCTATATTGAAAAACCAAAATTTTCAGTTCATCTGAATAAGATAAATGATTCGAAAGAACAAATATCATTAGTAACTGTAACAGTTAATAGTAAAGCAGCTATATCAGAAGTTCACTTAATTTAATTACCTAAAAATGGAACTCGAAAGTAGACAAAACTGCATGATAGAAAAACAAAATGAACTAAAAGAAAAACTAAAACAATTCAACAAATGTAGAAAAACATGGAGTAAAATCGATTCTGTTTTCAAAACATTAAGTACAGTTTTAACAATAGGGATAACGGTGGCAACAGCCGTAACCGGTGGATTAATGCTTCCAATCATCGTCCCGACAGTATTAGCCTCGTTCACTGCCGTTCAAACTTCATCTTGTGGTTTGATTACTTTAGGTTTTACATCAAAACAGAAAGCTTATTATAAAAGGAAAACAAAAATTTTAAATACATATCTTAATAAATTATTCATTTTTTTCGAAAGATCGAGAGAGGATAAGAACATAACCATTGAAGAATTAGAAGAATTCAATGAAATTTTAGATAAATTTGATGTAGAAATATCATCAATAAAAGTTAAAATTCCTAGTTAAAAATAGTTGTTTTAAAAATAGTTGTTTTAAAAATATGAATAAATTTATATCACATGATCTTTTTTCCAATGTTATTGAGCATATCTCTGACGAATTTTTATCATTTAACGGACAAATTGAATTAGATGGAAAGATAACTCAAGATAGAAAATACATACAAGACATAAAATTTGTAGGTTTTGATACCATGACTTTTGTCGATTTCTTCCTTTCGCTGGATAAAAAATCGAATTCCTCCGATTCGTATTTCACAGGAAAAATGATTTTCCATAAAAAGCCTAGTGGTGATCAAAGCTCATTATAATTTATTTTTTTTCGAAAAATTCCTAGTTTAAAATAGTTGCTTTAAAAATATGAATAAAATTGAAATTGTAGACGATAAAAAATTCATACCAGTGAAAATTTTAGACGACAAGACTATCTCTGATGAAT